TCCCTAACGTTCCCTATTATATCGATGCGAACGTAAAGCTCACCCAAAGTATCGCTATTTTGCGATATTTGGGTCGAAAACACGGTTTGGTGGCCAGGGATGAGACCGGACTCGTGCGCCAGGATCTGGTGGAACAGCAGCTCTTGGACTATAGGACAGGATTTTATCAAATAGTGCACAATAAAGACAACTTCGAGTCAACGAAAGCTAAATATATAACCGAAACGCTTCCCCAACAGTTGGATCAGTTGTCAAAGTTCTTGGGCAGTCATCAGTGGTTTGTCGGACAGACACTAACATACGTCGACTTCTTGGCCTATGAGACACTCGATTGGATCCGAGTGTTGAGTGCGGAGACCGTCAAGAAGTACCACAATTTGGTTCAATATTTGGATCGATTCGAGAATTTGCCACAAATTAACGCTTATTTAAAGTCCAATGAGTTTAAAAATTTACCAATTTTTGGTCCATATGCTCAGTGGTAATTCACTGAACATTATACTGTATAATGAATCAATTAAGTAAATGGTATTAAATAATAAAATCAATATTACAAGTCATAGTTATGTAGCTGATAAAATTTTTACATTATAATAAATACTATTTTAATTCAATTAGACAATTAATAAATAAAAGTTTGTAAAATTTTGAAAATTTAAACTACTCATTATATTTTTTAAAGCAATGTATGTACTGGATCACTTATAAACGAGAGATGGGTGATCACTGCTGCACATTGTGTTTTGTAAGTATAATAAAATTTACATTGATAGTTTCGTTACTAAATTAATACTCAAAATTCATTGCCAATAATCATGTAAATTAATTTTATGAAGTTGATGAATTTTAATTTTGAAAGCAATTTTATCAAATGGCCTTGATATAAAGTTATATTTCAATGAATATTAATAGATTCACACAGTATATAAAAGACTGAGCATGCTAACTTTTTTGTGAAACGTACAGAAAGTGTAAAGATTGCGAGTCGACAACAGTGATGGTATATCCGGCCATTCTGGACATATCCCAGAAAGGGAAGGGCATTGGTATTGATTACTATGACATTCATCCCGAATACCAGAAGGGAAATACTGTTGACAAAGCATTTGACGTGGCGTTAATCAAATTGGAAACGGAGTTCCACTTCAGTCGTCCCACAGCTAACGGTCCGCCATACCGTACGGCGAATAGCATTTGCCTCCCGGTGCGCGACATAAGGAATGAACGGGAAGAGTACGCCCGAGTGGCCGGTTTCGGAGTG